CTTACGAAATAAAACCCTCACCAATGTCAAGTGGCAGACATACGAACGCAATAAAAGAAACAGAGAAAAAAGAGAAAAAAAACAAACTGAAAGAGAAACAGTATACTTGTTGAATGGAGAAACAAGTATGTTTAAGAACGCGAACGGAATAAAACTAGACAGCTTTTGCAAACACACATGCACGAATCTCGCACGGTGTCGGGAAGCGTCAAAATAATTGCATTCAACAAATGCGTTCGACCGTATATCATCCCGTAGGGGGGAGTTGCCAGGAAATCTGTGACGGTTCCCGTACTCTCTACCCCTCCATTTAATGTTTAGCGAACAGTGATTTATTCGTTTCGAAGTATAATTGATTTTGTCACGGTAGTTCTTATAACTATTCAACGCAATTCAACACTTGTGATTTCATATCGGCCATTACAAACTCCGATTGATTCGGAACGACAAGGTGATAAATGGAAATCGTTGTTGAGACCTGATTTAGTTGGAGTTTGACTAGAAGGCAGAAAAAGCTAGCAAGTGCAAACTAAAATGTCTTGATATCTTGCGATATCGCAAAAGGAATATGGGTTTGTTCTCATTTAGATTTACTGCGTCATTAACTGCTCTCTTACTCGAATGAGGGTTGTAAACCTTTTGAACATAAAATTTTCGCTAATAAGGCATGTAAGCTCGTTAGGGATTTTTTTCCAGATATTAAACTACATAGGAACATGCTGTTTCTCAACCTATAAGAGTTTTTTGAGAACTGCACATTTGTATTAATAAGTGTTGTGCACAAAATCTGGAAGTCGATTCTGAGCACATCTCCCACTTTTACAGATAAGTCACCCAGGTTATCCAGGAACTTCACAGTATTTGAGTATACCAAAGCGAGAAATTCTCAATTAAGGTCTCTTTTTTCAGGATTTGATAGCGCAATCAGATAGCTCTATTCATGTACTTTTAAGAAAATTTATTTTTAAAACTTTTATATTTCTTGCAGCCAGCTAAAGTCTGTCTAACGAAATTTAGCCCATTAACTAGACATCATTCAAGCTGTTCTCTTCGGACAGCAAATTCTGTCCAATAAATCCTTCGTTCGCCTTTATATTTAACGTGACGTCAACCGATTCATTGCTGATCGCCGCAAGAACAAAAAAAACTCACCGAATAGTACTTGGTCTCTTCGTAATCCAAAGGCTTTGTCACGTAAACTTCTCCTGAGGACTCGTCGATGTCGAAATGCTGAATTTCATTGGCAGGATCCTAAACAAAGCTGATCCGCATGCAGTAAAACCCGGAGAGCTGGCGCCATTGTTATGGAGTAGCAAACCTTCAATGAGTACTTGATGTTCATCCTTTCTTCACTCATACCTGCCAGGCGAGCTTTCACCTGATAGATGTGCTCATTCACAGGAGTGTCCTA